GACGGAGGCGGGCCGTACTTTTTGGGTGAGAGGAGAGGGGGAGAGACAGCGTGTTGTCGGTATTCCACGGGAAGACTCGAAGGAGTTGTCTTTGCCCGGGCTTTGCCGTAATTTAGCTGCTAAATTTTGTTGTTACTGTATAGACGGAATTCACCATTGTTTCGTGATTGTGGCAGGCTTTGGCTGACGCAAGACACGACTGACAGCAGTTGCACGGGGGTGGGAGGTGACGTTGGGGCGGTGAACCATACTACTGTGGTCCAGGGGGTCGGTTCCACAATGCCTGGAACGATTTGTTTGCCTTGTTCCAGTTTTTGCGTTCTCACCTGCGCCTGATCTCATGTCGAGTTTTGTTATGTTCGCGAAGGTCTGTCTCTTGTCTGTGTTTGCCGATCCGACAAGACGCGGTGCTGTTAGTCAGCCCCAGCCGCCGCCTTACATCGATACCCCCGCTGTAGACTTCGATCGGTTTCATGTAGTTGGATCCACATAATTACATCACATGAAACCGCTTTCCGTATGTTGTGGCTGTGTTATTGGCACATCACCGGAGCGAGGTCGTTGGCGACATCCCCTCCATACAACCGCGCGCATGATTCTCTCCCTGATGCACCTCTTCCCCCCCCCGCCCCCCTCCCCCCTCTCTCTCTTGTATCTCCTGTTCAGGGAAAGAGCTATCCTACGTGGACCTCATGTACACGCCTTTCCTCGAGCGAATGGCGGCTTCGATCCCTTACTTCAAGGGGCTCGAGGTCAGGCGCAACCCGAGGTGGCCGAACATCGACAGGTGAGCGGCAACGAGGTATCATGTGCCGTGGGATTTACTGTGGTACAGTTAAACCTATACATGTGCTTTATTTTCTACAAGTACCATGGTAGGATTTATGTATGGTCATACATACTCCCATCTACACGTTTTGTTGTTTGGACTTTGCACTAAGCCGTGCCGTGGTGGCAATGTGGCGGCGGGCAGTAGTGCCCCGTTGGTGTTGCACCCACCACTCATCTTTTCGTTCGCCTTTCGTGCACAGTAGTAGTCTCCGCAGCAAAATTGATTAAGCAAACATGTGGGATAAAGTATTCAATCCGTGCTAGTGGTTAGGGTTACTCTTATGTTTTGCTTGCCTTAGCGGTTAGACCATTGACCACGCGTCCTCGAGAGGACGGAGCATTGTTCCCACAGGACCGATCACCGATGGCCAATCGCTGCTTTCTACTTTGCCAAAGGTGGCTCAAAAATGTCTTCCCTAGTCTGTCTATCCTAACGATATCTCTTCCCGCCTTTTCAACCCACCTCCTATGCCCCAGTACAGCTACCGTCCTTTCCTCTCTATTGCATGCCTCAAACATCTCCCTGTACGTCCTATCTATTTTTCCCAGGTTAGGGTTAGTAACATTTTGCGTAGACGGTCCTTCGTGCATCTGCACGCGCCGCCTGTATGGTGCATGGTTTTACATCCTCCGGTCATTAATGTGGCTCTTTTCTTACTCGCGCTGAGGTTGTGTTGTCTCGGGGCCCGGCAGGTGGTTCGACGCCATGGACACGCGAGAGGTATACCGCGGAGTCAAGTCGGACTACTACACGCACTGCCACGACCTGCCCCCGCAGATCGGGGGCTGTCGCGTGGCCCCCGCAGGGGTCCCGTTCAAGGACGAGGTCGACGGCAAGGATGGTAAGTCTTGGTTGTGGGCAGGCTTGTGCAGTGCAACATGTTTATTTGTGTCAGGTCGTTGGTATTTACGTTAGGGTCCTGTTGAAATTGGATGCAAGCCTTGCAGGAGAGGTTGGTAGGGGACTTCAGGGAGATGAATCCTTCTGTGTGACGACGGATCCGAGCCCCTACCCGGCAGAAATGCTGCGGACGCTGACCACAAGTGATCGAACATTATAGTAGATAAAAAGGAGATTTGGGGCGGGAGGCAGGGGAGAAAATGAAAGACACAGGCAGACAAACCGACGAAGTGCGAGACCTCTCGGGGTTTCGCCCGTCCCTGGTGCCCCTTGCCGATCCCCAAAGCCACCCATCCACACAGACTTTTACAATAAGGTGCCCCCCTTTCCCCTTTCTGTTGCTCCCCCCTCCCCAAACACAGGCTAGTGGCACTTGCCCCTATCTCTCGACGGCGGTTTCGAGCCCATTTGCAACCCACCCACACGGACTTAAACTACGGTGCCCCCCCCCTCTCTGTTGCCCTCGCCCCCCTCCCCCAATACACAGGCTCGTGGCACCTGCCCCTAACTCCCGATGGGGGCCTCGAGCCCGTCGGATCGGCCTTCTACCCCGAAGATGTCGCCAGGCGACTCGCCGCCGCGAAGCTTGTCGGCAACAGGGAGGCGGTTGTGCCGTTCTCTCTGAGAGGGGTCGGGCTCCCTGGCGTCCCCGGGGTGATGGCCGAGCTCGCCGACCCGAATGCGAAGCCGAACAGGGACTTCTTACCGCCCGTTGACGCTGCCCTGAGGTGGGGCGGGGGGGGGNTCGGCATCTTGTGCTTACTTCCTTGCGTACGGATGACAGCTGCGTATGACTTAATTTATTTTCTGGTGCTTTCACTTCCTGAGACAGTTGTAAACACTGTGCAACTGCCTCGAGGGTGCTTGACGATTTTAACACAACGTGGTGCGATCATCCCCCTTGCTCGGAGTGAGGGTTCTCCACCCCGCACAACATGCTCTATTCGACCACCATTATGGTTACGGCAAAAAAAAAACAAAGGTAAATTTAAAAACCGGTAACCTGGTTGCCGAGTTCACGGAGTGAATCGGCTTGTTTTACAACGTCGTTGCCAAGCGACGAAAACCCAATCCCGGTGGCAAACACCGAGGGGGAGTCTTCTGACCAAGAGAACATTGCTCGTAGGGCCTTGGACCCTTGCTGGTTGTGCGTGCATCACTACCATTGGGAAGATGCCTCTATCCTGGTTCCCTCAAACGAGTCTCTCTATTTTCCTGGTTCGTTTGCTAGGTTTCTCACGTACTACAACCGTCGTCGTCGTTTCTTTTTTGTTTGGTTCTCCCGACCAGGCACGTGGTGCACGCTCTGCTAGAGGGACACGAGGCGGCCAAGTCCACGGGATTGTCACAGCAGAACCCGGTCGAGCAGGTGCGTGCTTGACTGAACAGTGGAAACCCACCTCCCAAGCGCAGAACTTGATGAAACGCCGAATAACATTTACGATCTTATTATGTTGCAGTTAAACTTTTAAGCATCGTCATCGCACCAATCGATGCGGAAATCTGCAGCAGTTGTCATTCGCCTGCTGTGTGGCGGGACTCGAGTCTGGAGGTCTCTTGGCTGTTGTTTGATGCTGACGGAGCTTCGGTCCGACACTATTGCTGAAAGGGCCGACTGACAAAGACAGACCGTAGTAGCAGGATCGCTTTCCGTTCGTGATGGGTGTAACCGCCCCCCAGCTCTTGAGACTCGGTTTGTTCTTCTCGTGGCGTGTGGCGAGGTATACCAAGTGCTCGGACAAACAAAGTAGGTTAACGATACGAGTCAGTCTGAGAGTGAGCGCGCCATTTATGGGACACCAATCCAACTTCCCAGATTCACCGAACCGAAAGGTCCGCAACCGTAACGGATGGTTCTTCAGATCGTTCTTCATGTTTAACCGTTGGGTCGCTGGTAACGTATCCGCAGTCCGAGCAGTGTTTTTGCGTCGAACATGAAGTCTTTGATGTTGCGTTTGTTTTCTTAGGGGTCAAGGTCTTCACCGTGTGTTAACATGCGATTAACGATGATGATGTTTACACCGTGGCCTGGACGTTCATGGCACTTGCTCCGCCCAGTGCGATATTACGGTATGCCACAGAAGTTTTGTCCACATGACTGAACGCAGCAGCAAGCGCTATGTATTGCTCTTATGCTCCTCGTCAGGTATCTACACGCGCGTGCGAATTGTTTCGCCGCCGCAATCGGCTTAATCAATCGTCTGTTCGCTCTCTTGCTTCTATCTCTCGCGGTGTTTTCCCCGGCAGGTGCAACTGTGCCTCGAGTATCTGAGGGACAGGGTCGGCGTGCCTCGCGACCTCCCGTTCGCGGCAGCAAGACAGGTGAGGGCATGCTCTTTGAGGCGTGGGCTGGGGGGGCCGGCGGGACTGGTGTTGTATTCGGCTAGAGTGTGAAAGAGTGTGAAAGAGTGTGAAAGAGAGAGGAAGGGGGGGGGGGGG